GAACACTCCACTATTTTTGAAAATAGGCTCATTTCCCAACTCCCCTAGAGTTAAACAGTTGAGTTTTACCGTTTTCGAATCCATTCAGCCGATCTCCGGGTCTCGCGGTCGCACTTTTAGCTGTAGCTTAGCACAGATCATTGAATCTGATTAGACCGTTAGCATCTCGCTCAAAAATGACCAAAGAGTTTCTATATTTTTCCTATTTAAAACTTGACTCTTCTGTAGTTACATCATGTACTAAGACCGACCGAAAATTAAAAGTTGCGATTTTTTTCTAGGCCGATATGGCTAGGAACTATACTCTCATTCTGGCGTAATAATCAAGGAACTTTGCTGCCGTACCATGGGTGCAGCAGGCGCAATGATATTACGCAGCGCCTGAAAATAGGCTAACTTCCGTCAAAATAACCAATGTGACCACCTGCTTGCACAGGGAGCGTGCTGGGCACTATTTTCAGGTGCTGCGTAATATCATTGCGCCTGCTGCACTAATGTCAGCTAACGGTCTAATCAGATTCAATGATCTATGCTTGATTCGAAAACGGTAAAACTCAACTGTTTAACTCTAGGGGAGTTGGAAAATTAGTCTATTTTCAAAAATAGTGTTCCTTTAAACTGAAAGCAATCAAAAAAGCCCATGGACAGGTTTTTGCTGACAGGATACGACATTCGGTAAGGGAAACGCAAACAATCCGCACGTTGTGCGTGGGTGGGGGGGGGGGGGGGGGTTTATTTCAAAATCACACAAGGTTCCCAGATAATACTAATCCCGTGGGAATAGGGCTTTAGAAAGTAAAAACACACCTTTCCGCAAGCCATGATTTGAGATATGTTATTCATGTCAGTAGCGCAAACACCAGGTATGTTTTTGTGCCAATTTTCATAAAATGTAAGCGGTTTCTAATGTATGTTTAAACGTATGTGAACATAGGCCTATGTGTCACAGCACTCTGCATGTGCGCAAAGTATTTTTGAATCCAATTGAGAAAATTGTTTGTTTTCACCGTTCCCCCTTAGTTAGTGGTTGTCATGGTTATTGATTTGATTTCATCATTATGTTCAGGTGTGTGTGTGTGTGTGTGTGTGTCATCAGGCCCGTAACCAGCTATGAGGCCACGACCGGACCGGACCTCTGTAAATTTTTCATGTTCAAAAATAAAATTTGTTCTTTGAATGACTAATTTGCTGTTAAACTCCTCATATGAATGCCTGCATGACATGTATAATTCAGTTTAGACAGTTTGCCAGAATGTTTAGCGTCCCTGTTATGAAATCGCTGCGAGACGCTGGCGGAGTGAACAAGTCTTGAGCGAGTTTGTAATAGCTGGATTGCCAAATCCAGCTATTACAAGTGTTTTTGGACTTGTCTTTTCCACTTAATGTAACACTTTAGAAAGTTAATAAAGTAGGAAGTTGCAGTTTAGAGTCAGCGATATCTTTATATTATCTTATTTGCGAAAGATTGGAAATAATTTTGTTTTATTTTTATTTATTTTCAGTTTTTTGTTTGTTTTAGTATCAATATCTGGCAACACTGCATCGCCGGCACTTAAAGGAACACTCCACTATTTTTGAAAATAGGCTCATTTCCCAACTCCCCTAGAGTTAAACAGTTGAGTTTTACCGTTTTCGAATCCATTCAGCCGATCTCCGGGTCTCGCGGTCGCACTTTTAGCTGTAGCTTAGCACAGATCATTGAATCTGATTAGACCGTTAGCATCTCGCTCAAAAATGACCAAAGAGTTTCTATATTTTTCCTATTTAAAACTTGACTCTTCTGTAGTTACATCATGTACTAAGACCGACCGAAAATTAAAAGTTGCGATTTTTTTCTAGGCCGATATGGCTAGGAACTATACTCTCATTCTGGCGTAATAATCAAGGAACTTTGCTGCCGTACCATGGGTGCAGCAGGCGCAATGATATTACGCAGCGCCTGAAAATAGGCTAACTTCCGTCAAAATAACCAATGTGACCACCTGCTTGCACAGGGAGCGTGCTGGGCACTATTTTCAGGTGCTGCGTAATATCATTGCGCCTGCTGCACTAATGTCAGCTAACGGTCTAATCAGATTCAATGATCTATGCTTGATTCGAAAACGGTAAAACTCAACTGTTTAACTCTAGGGGAGTTGGAAAATTAGTCTATTTTCAAAAATAGTGTTCCTTTAAACTGAAAGCAATCAAAAAAGCCCATGGACAGGTTTTTGCTGACAGGATACGACATTCGGTAAGGGAAACGCAAACAATTATCATGATATTATCTGTTATAAACGTTATCAATGCTGTCAAAAACAGCAGCATTTAACACTAGTTCACACAGATCTGTAGAACAAGTAGATTACGAAATGAAATGCGCAAAAACTAGCCATGAAGAAGTCTATGCTATGTCATTCAGTATAGTTAAATTTTCACAAATCATGCTATAAACTTTCATAAGAGCACTAGACAAAGTTATTGTAGTTATGTATTGTTGCAATAAACAACTGATAGATGTATCCACCCTTAAATATAGTAAAGTATTAACACATTTTGATGCAATAAATAGGGTATGATTTAAAAAATAATCATCCTCCAAAACAGAGAAAACATCTTTCACAAACATCTACATGTCCGTCTTCTTTAAAGTGTTTATAGTGTATATAATGAGTTGTATTTGTAGGGGTTATTAAACACAATTCTTTAACACCAACCCCTATTAGCCCCCACCCCCTACTGTTAAGACGAGTTATGCACCAAAGTTTAGTACATATATTGAGGTGTTTGTTCAAAACTTGTTCAAACCTAACCCAATAGTAATAGCAATGCT